TCAAAGTTATAATACAAAATAATGCTATATATTTATTTACCAAGTATTTTATTAATACCATGAAAAAATTAAAAAAAAATATAATTAATAAAGCCAACCATATTAACTACTTTGAGAGATTTTGTGACAAAGAGAGTATTCAAATCACACAACAAATTGAAGTGAGAACTACCTCGCAATGTCCTTGTTTGACAATCAGCAGTTAGGGGTTAGCATTAGCGGATTATACTAGCGGATTTAACCAGCGAATTTATTTAATTATTAACATTGGGTAGAAAAAATGATAGCCAAATTATTAAATCAAATGAATGGTTCATATTGTTCAGGTTTTAACTTTTTTCTTTTAAGATTTTCTAATTTATCTTTAATTATATGATTATCAATTTAATTTTTCCGTTAATTCACCGTTAGTCTAATTCTAATATTAAAAGTTGATGATTCCCACCAAGAATTTGATCGTCGGGTCGTGCTAATTCCATACGAATCAGTACTGAGAAGTCTAATATAGAATTATAACTACACCATTAATCTAATTATAATATTAAAGTCTTAATAGAACTTAACAACAAATCCTAATGTCGGAATCTCCTCAAACAATATTAGTATATATTTAATATTTTATGCCCTAATTTTATTTGTTCTCCCTTATGTCCCATATTTGGTTTCAACCATACATGTACAATTATTTTATTGACAATTATAATCAATCTTGACTATATTATCTTGCATTTGTAAACTTAGAATTACCTATTTAACCCATCCAAAGCAGGGTTATGGATCAACCCATGCGGGAATTATGTCCAAAGTGGGCAGATTCCTTGTGCGTATTAGCATTTACAACCTCCCACAATGCTCTGTCGGGTCGGAGTGTGGGGGACCCTTGGGGTTGGAGACTCAACCTTTGGGAGAAGAATTACCTATTTAAATACGCAAATTCAACATTCAATTATCGCATGAACAATTTCAATATAATCCTGCCTTAATATACTTTAAAGTATTTATTTAAAAAAAACATTGGGCATTACCCCAATCGCGCAATGCGCGTAAAAAACTAGTATATATATATATATATATATATATATATATATATATATATATATATATATATATATATATATATATATATATATATATATATATTATCATTGTCTTTTGGGGGAATGAGGATGTAATTATGCTTTTTAAGGCGCAATGTGCCAAGACACTAAAATTGTAGTGAAACACATCAGGGAACTAGATGAAATCAATAATTCATTTTTAGCGGGAGTGAAAACAAGATCGAGGAAGCATGGATCACGCCAGTGAGGGTGCTTCCTTCTAAAATTGCTATTTCACCAGTTAATCCAACATTTTCGTCACAGGTCATAGATATGCATTTTTGAAATATTTGCTTTTATGAAAAATTTGATAATCTTGCATTGATATACGCCAGGATACCAAATGATATTTTGATAAAATCTGAACACTAATTTAAAAATACACATTGGGCATCAGAATATTTGCGCAATGCGTGTGTGGTAACTAGCTAGTATATATATTTTAAAAATGCATAACTATGACATCTGACAGAAATGTTGGATTAACCGGTACAATAATAGCAATTTAGAGGGAAGCACCCTCACTAGATAGTACATAAGAATAGTTTTTGCAACACAAAACTCTATTAATTTGTGTTGCTTCTTCTGGTTGTCACTTCCGCCATAAATGAATTTTTGATTTGATCGAACCTAAGATCTAGCTTCCTTATAAAAATTAATGAGTAAGTTAATAATAATAAATAGTTAACGGAATATCCCGTTATTAAAGTTTACACTGACGAAATACAAGGGTATTTAGGAAAAATAAATGATGATATAGTAGAGGGTAAAATTAGAAAAATAATAAAAATACAAAAATCAAAATAATACGAATCATTCATTTCAACAAACAACTGCACTAACATTTTTTAATTTCTGTTAGTGACATAACTTTATTGACCCTTATTAAATTTGTAGATTTATTTTAATAATCATATATACCAAACACTATAAATAAAATTCTGAACAATTCTATTATAGTACGTATACCAAACAATCTAAATTTCTACTTTATTCTCACATTATTCCTTTCTCACAAAATTATATTTTTTTTTCTCTAATTTACTCGTTGCAACTATACGGCATGTAAGACTTCAAACCAGCTAGGAGCAAATTAAATCTAAGCTCCTACAACTGTAAGATATTTTTTAAATCTGTTTGCAGAAAACAACGTACTGATAGTGTCTTTTCGAAAACTTAATAAAATGGTACGGTTCATTATCATAATTTTGGCCTTGCAGGCTTGCAGTCAATAGTTTTTAAATTAAGTCACTGAACACTCTGAATATATGCAATTTTACCGGATAGCAGGTAACCTGCACTGAGGCTCAATCTCATGACCTTCTACATGAAAAAGGTCACTACATGCCGACAGAGTTAATCTTCTTAATTTTCATTATAAGAACAAAAAAAATGACGCTTATAATCCCTCGATTATAATCAATATGTAGACTTAATATAATTCTTCAGTTATAAATTATGATTGTGGTGTAGATTTAGTTTCTCAAATATTTGTGATGCATTTTGATTAACGGGGTCAACTTCAATTGTGTTAGACGATCTGCGAATCGTGCGGTCCACTTAATAGCACGAGATGCCGTTTCTGTGTCAGGTCTTGGGGAGTGGCTGGATTCACCACCCCATTATCTTGTTTCTGTTCTTGACGATGATTGAATGAATGAATTTTACTTTTTCAAAAAAAAAAATATTTGTGATGCATATTTAGTTATTATCAAAGTGGAATATATTAGTAATAAATTTAGTCTTCAAAGGACAAGATATGTCACTTTAATAATAATTGAAATATTAAATTTACCTCCAAGTAATTGAATAATTAAATCTAAACATCAATCATAACGATAGGGACTAAATATGTTTTTTTTTTTTTTTTTAAATATAGAATCAGCATTCCCATAAGATTTTCTTCTCATCACATTATTGTACAAGGATTAACTATATATACATCAAGGTTCTTACCTTATTAATCACGTTTCTCGATATAGAACTAGCATTCTCATGTGATTTTCTTCTCACGTTATTGTACATGTGTTTGATCACATGTCACATGATTAACCCCTTTCTTTTTAAAAAATAAAATTTTTTTGTTTAATATTCATTTAATTGTGTAGTGCGTACAAGTTAAGCAATTATTATTCCATTCATTCACTATGGTCCACAAAATTGTATAGACCATAAATAAAAATGTATATTTTTAATATACTTAAAGTACATTATTTATGTACTTTTTAATGTAGTACAGGTATTATTATTATTATTATTATTGAAAGTGAATTGAAATTGTAGAAATGTAAACAAAATAATGAATAAATTGTAAATATCATGATTTTTAAAGATATATAAAAAAAAAATGAATACCTCCAAACTATATATGGTTTACAATTGATGACAGGGCTAAAGGATTAGCATAGAATTCAAAAATATCTGGGACAATATATACTATTTACATAGGAGTTGAGATATTTTTTTTCCCCAAAAGAGTAATCTAAGTAAATAATGAGCAATGATTTAACACATTTCTATAAGATAACGAAAATGATTTATCTGTGACGTCTCAACCAAAGAAGCTTGACATAGATGTGATTATCCACTTTTAAAAATATCTCCTCGGATATTAATAATTTTAAAACAATATTACCAAATCATTGATTAGTCTACTCGAAAACTTCAATTCTGTAGCTTCAATGTGAAGTGTTTCTTTATCCTTATTTAGCTTTGATTTTCTTCTTAAAATTTTTTCAGTCTTTTTAAGCTTATAGGATAATTAGACAAGAAATTCAAAATATATTTACAATTGATATTGATAATGCACAAAGACTCGCTTGGGAAATCTCAGTCTAACTCGAAATCGACGTAACATATTATACATATAGGTGTAATCGATCTAAAAAACTTAGAAAAACTAATAACTAGTTGTTGATTACCGATTGTGGTATTGTGACCACTTGATCTGCTAAGTCACTTTACATGTTCATACAAATTGCGTTATATAAGCCTAAAACTTAATACTAATTTAGATTATTAGTAATTTTACTTTATTAGACCTTACGTTTGTCCTTATTATCATACTTTAAAAGAAATCCGCATCACTTTTCATATTCATGCTATCTAGCTATCTTCATATCTGGTTCAAATTAGATCATCATAACCCTATTAAAAATAGTATTTCTCAAATTTTTAAAAATAAATGTAACTAATATGATGCAATTTCAATTAGGAGAAACTAAAAATATTGTCAAATATAAATATTATACTCCGTGCAATGCAATTTCAAACGAACTTTTACATTATTTTTTATCAATGATTTTGTAGTCTAGTGACACGAAGTGACTCTGCCAAATGAAAGATTATACAGTAATTCATAAGTTTGACAATATTACATTGTGACAGAATTCTTCCAAAAGGCTGAACCCCAACCCTGATCCCGACTGAGCATTTGGGAGGATGTAAATCATGGTAACTCAACTGAATATGAACCACAGAGGCTAGACCTGTGCTCAAGGAACCCCCTCATTTTAAGAGGTTGCTCCCACTCAATCCCTGGTCATTCTTCCAAAATTTCACCTCTGTGACCAGTTGAGCTGTCCAAGCGGGTATTGTAACAGAATTAATCGTACTAAAAAAGAGATTTTAGTCATTTTACTTTCTGCTGCCATCAGGCATCAGCCCAAAAAGGTAAAAGTGGCATGTTCCGGTAAACGGGTACGGTTACTAAGAAAAAGCCGGGAATCCGGAAACGATTTTGGTTCCTGGTTGGAGCTTAAAAATATCTGGCTGACATTGGTTAGAGATATTATCACCGCCGCTGACCTGGCAGGCTTCCACTTTTGTGCCACGTGTAAAAGCATCGCCATGTGGGGCCTTTACTGACCCACTCCCTACAACCCCTCTAAAACCGGAAAACCAAGCACCTACGATCCGTCCCGCAACCATCTTCTCGTTTTTTCTCCGTATTATTTTTTGCATTTTTTTCTCTCGAAATATCTGCATTCCCTGAGAAAGCCGATGGAAGAGAGCCACCGGACGGCGCCACCGCCGGGGTATGGAAATCCGGCATCGTCGCCCAGTTGTACCAATGAGTTTACTGGTTCGACCGCTGATGCGGCCTTCTTAACTCCTGAGAATTTTAGAGATGCTTTACATCACACTGCGAATGCAAGACTGGTAATTATATTTTTGAACTTATTCGCTTTAATTTCGTTACTTTTTCTCATCGTTTATCTGTGTATCTACGGAGTATGTGCTTAGGTATTCGCAAAGTTTTTATCCTTCCTGATTTTTAGTACTAGGTGCTTCTGATGTACTTATTAAGCTTATATAATTTCTGCATACAAGTACTTTAAGATGCTTTGTGATTTGCGACGATTTTTAATTTAATCTGTGTGTTTTCTGCTGTACGTGCACTTCGACTGTGGGAGAGAAGATGGAAGAGAACAGGAGGGAGATTTTTGTATTGTTTTAGAAAGATTAGAAGAAGAAATTCGAAGAGTACGAGTCATAGCATATAGATGTGCTTGATTGATCTCTACTTTTAAATCTATTTGTTAAAATTCATGCCTGATCTATATTTATCTGTGATTGGGAGAAAGAATAGACTTGAGACTATTGGATGGTTAAAACATAAATCAACTCTGAAAATTTGTAGGTTGTGTAATTCTTGTAGAGCATCTGTCACTAGACAAATGGTAAATCTAAAAGGTTTTAGATTGCAACTTACTATTCTTGCAGTATTTTCACTTTGATGCAGGCTTGAGCTAAAATGTTCTTGTTGTATGCAAAGTCTCTGCTTTTTTCCTTCCTTTCTGACTAGGTGTCAGTATTTCTGGGTTGGGCGAAGTGTCAAATGTTATGATTTATCCAATGGTTATTACTAAGTTTGTTTCTCTATGGTTGAATGAGCAGAAGATCTGCTGTTTTATATCCTCATTATTGAATATATTGGCAGTTAATTATTTACTTTATCTGTCTTGTGTCATTCCACTCTCATGCCATTGATAGACAAATGATGGATTGATCAACCTGTTTTGAGGATTGAAATGCATCATCATGGTGTGGCTTTAGAAGGGAAGGAAGAACATGGCATGTTTTCTAAGCCTCATTATCAACATAATGACACTTTTATCTGTCCTTCATCTTTTACTTAAATGAGTTTTTACTGATTTAGTGATTCATTGGCTCATTAGGTCAACTGGAAGAATTGGTGATACTGATAATATTCTGACTATAGTTTTATCTTTAACTAAGATGAAAAAAGAATGATATTTTTACTAATCATCATGCAACTGACAAAATTTATCTAAAATGCATTCTAGCAAAGTTATTGTGTACTTAACTACCTTCTGCTCACATTTCCTTGTGGCTTTCTAATTTATGATCATTGCATTTCCACTTTAGGGTGATTGTACAAGATGGACAAATGAGAAGCACAACTTATATCTTGATATTCTGGAAGCATCCTTTGTTAAACAGTTGTACCAGTCAACTTTGCCTTCCAGGTGCTCAGAGCAGAACAAGAATAACAGAAATGTGATCAAGGAGCTGCCAACCAAAATGGATAGAGTTTTCGAACAGGTGGAGTACCTAATTTGTTGTAGTGTCGATCATGTCTCTAACTACTAGAGAAGTCAATGCCCTCTATTAATTTAGCGCATTTCTATGTTGATTGTGCTGTCTTCCCCTTTCTCACCCCTGAGCACAAGAAGAAAAAAACTAAAAATAAATTTGATTCAATCTAGGTTGAGATTTTTCCTTTTTCCAGTTTCCTGCTTTACAAGCTTCTTGTTGTAACAAGAACAACATTGAAAGGGATCAGCATGCTCTTTATACTGCTACACCCAGTTCTCATGCTCAACACCTGTATGAGGCAGATAGTGAGAAGAAATGCTTGCAAGAAAAGCGAAAATTTCCATGTGGACTTGCAAAAAGATCTGAGCTTCATACAGACTTGCAGAACTCAGTTTGCAGTATGACAGGCAAGCTCAACTCAACCCCCTTGTAATTTTATGCTTCTACATCTATTGGGTTTACTAACTTGATTTATTAGTTCTAAAATTTTATTGTTGCCACATCACTCATGTGCAAGATCATTAAATGCACTTTGCTTTTTCCAATTTCTATAAACTGCCTCAAGCAATTACCGAGTAGCTCTGAAACATGTTGAAATTTGAGGCATGCTATTTACATAAATACATGGTTGGAGGGGTTGTATGGAAATCGAATATTTATTATTTTTCATGTTAAAATGTGCATTAGTAAACAGCACACTTCCCATTTTCTTAATTTAACATGAATTACCAAAAATTTGCCCTCAATAGAGTGAATGACACCACAAGTCTCCATGTTATCAACTACATTTCATGCGAATTAGGCATGCTGTGCTCTGCTGACATCTTCTAATAACTGAACTTTGGGCATGTCTTGCCATGTCTATTTGACCTGAGATTTTAGACTTAAACATTTACCAGCAGCATATAATTTCTTTTGCGTTTTCCCTCTTTTTATCCATGATGGTAAGGTTATGAATATTAGTGTATAACCTGACCTCAGAAGATTGTTGCCACTTCATACCCCTCAGTATTGATTACTAATATCAGCATCTACAAATGAACAACATATCCCTTTCTATCCTCCCTGATGTGAGTTGCTAAGGGTTTTACAAGTAGTTTCATTCTTAAATTATCTTGCTTTAGAATGAATCATTTTATTTTTCCTCTGACACTCCAATGCTGTGTTACACAGAAGGTTCAGGTCAAAACTTTGAAGATGGTTGTGAAGAGAACACAGACAGCAAAAGGAGAAAGGCAGCCACAGGAGACATATCTAGCCATGAGGTCCATGACCAAGTAAAGATGCATATGTTCCCATAGTTTTCTTTAATGACTGTTTTGCTGATCGAATTCCTAATTTCTAAGACTTAAACACACTCTTCTAGATTGTGCCTTGCGGAAAGTTTGATAGTCCAACAATTGCCAGCTCTACTTTAAAAAGAGATGAACAGGCAAGTCAGGAATGCTTATTTGAGAGGTATGAGCGCTTCACCTGCCCCAAAACTGACATGAAATCCTTTCTGAATAGCAGTTGAAGTGAAGTGCTGCAGTAAGGAGATCCATTGCTTCTAAAACAAAAGCATTTAATTTCATATTATTTTTAAAATTTTTTGCCTGCATACAAAAATTGTAGCAATATTGAAAAGTTAAGATAGGGGCAAGATGTCTAGCGTTGCAGATTGTTTTTGATTATATAATATAGAGCAGGGGAATTCTGCGACGTGCATTTGAATATTAATATCTTTATGGATTTAAACTTTGTACATGAGATATATAGTTGGTAGTATCCATAAGTACCCAAGTACTTGAAGCCGTTGAGTAGACTCGCTTTTTTTTAAATTTTAAATTTCTTTATTATCTTGTTGAAAAAAAATTTCTTTATTTTCTTTCAATTCTAAATTTTTGGTTTTTGAGTATTATTTCTTGTTCATCTTTTTTTGTTGACACTAAATCTATTATTCTTTAACTCTTTATAGCATTCAACTTTAATACGAGAAATAGAGTAATTTTATTTTCTTTGTATGACCTCGAATTGGCCTTCTATCAGAAGAAATAATCTTTCGCATTTGATAGTATTTTTGACGCTATTTTGCCTTCTATGATAAGAAAGACTTGGTGTAAAATAAAGTATTAATGTCCAATTATATTTTGTGACAATTATATCTAATTATATTATCAACACACAATTAAAATGACCCAACTCTAAATTTGTTGAGTTGGAATATTTGGCAATCAAGCATCAACATCATTATTCATTACATTTAGCTTTATTACTTTAAATATATACAAATATGGGATACAAAATATCTTTCTCCCTCAGTTCCCAAACTATATTTCTGTACATGGATACCTGATGCATGTTCTTTCAAGTGTATATACTATGAGTGAGAAAGTACAATCCCACCACCAAACCTAATTAGCGAACCTCAGTTCGGTGGCATTTGACATTATGTATGAAACTACTTTAAGGTCACAATCACATATTCACATCTAGACTAGACAAGGTTTTGTTTTTTTTTTTTTTTTTTTTTTTTTTTTTGTTTTGTTTTGTTTTTTTTTTTTGTTTTTTTTTTTTGTTTTTTTGTTTTTTTTTTTCAAGCCATTAGTTAAATTCATAGATTCACTACCTACCTGTCCTCAATCCTTTGCTTTCCATTTTTGGTCTCTCACATCTTGCAAGACTGAAGTTGAAGGTAATGTAATATTGTGATTTTTTTTTTTATTTTTTATTTTATAACATCCACTAGTATATATTGCAAAAAATATTAGGAAAAACACATCTTTAAATCAAGAATATGTAATGAGATTTTTTTTGGGAAATATTTAACTTCTCATCAGTAATAAATGTATGGAAGTATCATTACACTTTGATATTTTCATTCTAGTTTTGTCACAGAATTTTTAGGTCGAATTTTTAGGCCGAGCATATTGCTTTAAGGTAAAAAGGTTATTTTTAAAATAGTAAATAACGTCATTACTATTATTATTATTATTATTATTATTATTTTTATTATTATTATTATTATTATTATTATTATTATTATTATTATTATTATTATTATTATTATTATTATTATTTGCTAGAACATTTCTCTTTAGTATATTTCTTGGTTCCAACTATACCCTGTATTTATACAAATGAATTGAAGTATTAAATCATTGCATTAATATGAAATTTAAAATTAGATTGTAACCCTCAAAACTGATATTTTAATTTGGAACTAAAACATGAGGTTATAAAATTAATTCTTAGTTAAATTTAAATTATTCAATATTAACTCCTTAACTCATCAATAATTAGTTTACTTATTTGAGTTATTTCCATAATAATACATTACTAACATAGTTGATGGAGAAAATTGATCAGAGGTAGGTAATTATATGGATCAATAAGCTCGCATAAAATATATTAAAGGGTAAAATGTATATAAACAAGTAGAATTGCTGGAGTCATTATGTTGTGCAACCGTGTGCACCATGCACAGTTGCAAAAACGATGTCGTTTTGAACTAAAAACGCGCGTCCCATTTAAAAAAAAATCATTTTCGATTCCCGTCAACAGCATTATGTTGTTCATTCATTATGGATTTTTAGTTCATTCATTTTGGATTTTTAGTTCATTCATTCTGGATATTTAGTTCATTCATTCTGGATTTTTTTTTCTGGATATTTAGTTCCATTCATTCTGGATTTAGACGGAAATCGAAACTGATTTTTTTTTTTCATTCATGCTAGATATTTAGTTCATTCATTCTGGATTTTTAGTTCATTCATTTTAGATATTTAGTTCATTCATTCTGGATATATAGTTCAAATTATGCACAATATAATGCTATTGTAGGAAATCGAAACTGATTTTTTTTAAGTGAGACGCGCATTTTTAGTCAAAACGACGTCGTGTTTGCATCCGTGTGCACCATGCATGGTGCACACGGATGCACAACATAATTTGCCGAATTGCTGTAGTATGGACAAATATAAAGATATTACAAAGAATATGTGTTGTAATGATCGTGAATATCTTTGTCTAGGCTAGATAATGACTATTTGTACAAGGAAACCAACAAATATAGCTAGAAATATGGTCGACCATGAGACTAAATCAAGGGCCACATGCTGGGTCGCGAGACTAAGTCAAGACCCACCATTATGGACTTAGAGGCAAGCTCTAAGTCCTAGTTGCTTCTTGGACTGCTTGGATTATCTTCTTGGACCTTGAGCGGTGAGCTCCTAAACCCTCGGGTCCTTAATATTATTAGGTCATTTTCAATATATCCATCAATAGTAGTAAAGAAAGATGTACTAGTAGAGATGTAGGTACAAGCAAAGAGAGGTACTAGCATAGAAGTGAATCACTTTTCAAAAAAAAAAAAAGAAAAGCATAGAAGTGAATCATCTATCTTTTTACCTCTCTGTGCACCTCTATCACATTTCTTTTCGGAACAAATTATACTTTTGGTCCTGTGACTATTAGGGTGTTGGTAATTTGAGTACTTGACTTTCAAAATTCTCAATTTAGTCCTTTAACTGTGCAATTGTTAACAGATTTGGTCCTGCCGGCTAAATCGCAAGCCAAATGTTGCCCGAAAAACGTAAAGATTTTTAAATTTTTTATTCATGAGGACAAAATGGTCATTTCATCTCACCTTTTTTTTAATACCATCTCACCTTCTTCTTCTTCCTTTAGCTGGACGGAACTGCACTGGGAACCAAAAAAAATAAAAATGGTTAACCAGGTTAAGTGATCAAGGAACCAAAAAAAAAAGGTCATTTCATCTCACTTCTTTCATTCCTTCACCAATTTTTTCATTGATTAAAAAAAATGGTTAACCAAATTAAATACAGCGCCGTGGGGCTACTATAGACCAGAAACTGGCACGTTTGCCAGGCGGCCGTGGAGGCGGGGCTGCGGGGAGAAACGATGCGGCCGTTGCTGGAGTTGACAATCCCGACGCCTTTGCAGGAATCCGACGATGATGCGGTAGGTGATCTGGATCTAGGCCTGGTAACGGCTGCAAGGGTGACCGGCGGTGAGAGAGACAATCGGTGCGGAGGGCGGATACGCCGTCGGAGGAATCGAAAACCTCCACTTTGTAAAGCAGTTTTTCGTATCGTTCGCTCCAATCTTCTGAAACACCATAGTTTAACCTTGGAACTATACTGTAGTTTCTTTGTCTTACCCCTTAGCTTTTTCTTGTTGTGGACTGGCCTAATGTTCTCATAGTCTCAAATCAACTTACCTCTCAATTAAATGTAAGCTTTTATTGGTGAAGAATTCCGGCCGGTAGCAAGGAAGAAGAAGAAGTAAGATGAAATGACATTTTGCCCTCATGAATACAAAATTTAAAATTTTTTACATTTTTCCGACAACATTTGGCCGGCGATTTGACCGGCAGGACCAAATCTGCTAACAATTGCATAGTTAAAGGACTAAATTGAGAATTTTAAAAATCAAGTACTCAAATTATCAACACCCTAATAGTCACAGGACCAAAAGTGTAATTTGTTCTTTCTTTCCGCCTCACTCTTCAAGATAAGAAAGTAATTCAAATTTTTGCTACATTACACACTTTTAAAGCTCTATTTTTCTAATCTCATGATTAAACTTTGACAACTCATTATCTATTATGATTTATTTACGAGTGTATGAAGATATGAATTTATTTCTTTCTGTAAGAGAACACAAATCTATCTTTTTTTTTTTGAAAATGAACACAAATCTATCTAACTCTACCTAGATTAATAATACACCTCACTTAAAATAATATCTCAAAATATTATTTTAATACTAATTTTTCAACAGAGGTAATTAGATAAAGAAATACCCCGTGTAACTTAAGGAATGTAGTCCTTGTGCATTGCTATATTTTTCTTCTACCCTGTGATGCGTGCTATGAAAGACCAAATTTGAAGTTTCTTCATGTGTTTTCTTCTTCAAGAATACAGTGCCAAACTTATGGCTTAGTCTATCTCTTTCTTCCATTTTTTAGAAGGAGAAATATGCATACAAATATGTAAGAAATAAAATGGATACAAATAAATGTATGGAAGTATCATATAACACTTTGAACCCTATTTTCTTTACCCCAAATATATGTGGGGTTCACGCGGGTCAAAACAGATTTACAATATATCAAACCTTGTAATAATATGTAAAAAGTGCAAATCAAAAACTCAAAAAGTAAACTTCATAAACTATAACAGTTCTAAAGTGCAATTTTTGGGTTTATTAATTGCACTTTTTAATGACGGTCACAAATATATAGAGTTTTGAAGTGTATTTTTTTTAGGGAGAAAAATTTAATTCATTGAATCGGAATGAAGAATAGCAACAAGATAAAGAGGAGGGGTGTCAAACCACTCCCCGCAACCTGATTCAGAAACGGCCTCCCGAGCAGCAGTGTAGGCAGCCCGATTCGCAGATCGCTTTACAAAACTAAAGTTAACCCCATTTATTGTTGAGGCAACTTCTTTAACATCAAAAGTAGAATTAAAAGAGCTTGAATGTAAAGCATTAAAACATAATTGAGAATCCATTTCAACGTCAACGTCTCCTATCCTTGTGTTCTTCAACCAACTTAGAGCTTCCCGGATGCCAAAGACTTCCGCCTCCACCACACTAAACTGCCCCGGTACACAAACATTTTTCGCTGCCAAGAATCGGCCATCCTCGTCGCGTAGTACCCAACCAAAGCCCATAACGTTATTAATTGTATCAAAAGCAGCATCCGTATTCAGCTTAATTCTTCCCGATTCTGGTGGCCTCCAATTAATCACAGCACCATGTGTCCCGGTTTTGAAGTGTATTTTTAATTATCATATTCTTATTATTATGCATATCTCGAGTTTTTTTTTTTTTTTTGGGTGCACATTTACATATTATATAGTGCATTTTGTAGTTTTGCGTTGTGTGCACTTCTAGATCGAGTTCACATATTCTTATTCGAGCGAGCATGAGTTTCTAAAAAAACATGTTTGTAAATATATGTATGTAATTATACAAAAAGCAATCAATAAGTATAATTAGGTTATTTAATTTGTATAAGAATGTATAAATTATAAGGCTAAAAGTATGATAGTTTTGTTTCGTCTTTATAAAAAATCAATATTTGTGAGGGGTTTCGGGCAGCTTGTATACTTTTTAAAGTAAACAAATAGAATATATCATCTGTGTTTAATAACTCATAAACTATACCTAAGATTAAAGATAAATCGTACTATGAAAATCATGTGTGACAAACTTAACTGAAAAAGTGTTAAAAAGAATCAAACACGTAACGTTTAAATATAATATACGAATTGCACTTTACTAATAATCCACTCATCACTCAACAATATATCCTTTCGGGGTGATACTTTTTAGAGGTTTTGTAATCACAGTAGATTGCATAAACATGTTTTGTAATTTGTGTAGGTGTAATTGATGAAATAAGTAAACTGGATATTGAGGAAAGTGTAGTGTCATATATGCTGGTCGATTTGTGGAGATGCAGCGACCAAAATCAAACCACTTCCGCCACACAATCTGGACCGGAGATCAACTGGATGGCACAATCCAGTTGCGGCGACATGACATCAATAATCGACAATCGGTAGTCCCACTCCGACCTTTGGCGCCCCTTGAAAGACAACCTTAGCTTAACCAAATTCAATTGCTATTTTTCTTCCCTCCAACATCTTATTTCACGTTATGTCTGTACAGACTTAGCTTATTGGTTCAGTAGATAAACAATATTTAAAAAAAAAATAAAAAAGAAATCAAAGTTCGAACCACGACAGCGACAGTGTGAGAATTATGGTCAAAGCAGACAGATTCCTTATGCACATGACACAGTATTTGGCCATGTCTGCTTAGCCATTGAGTACCGTAATTTACATTCTTCCAAATACTTTGGCGGATTGAGATGAGACCATTAGGGTTGAGGATTCAACATTTGGGAGAAGCTTATTCACGTTATATGCACAACCTTATGTTGACCATACTTTATTTAATGACCTCTAAATCACTACTCACTCACTTTCCTTTCACTTCTAATTTGGAAATAAAAGGGGAAAAATATTAAATTGTTAAAAATTATTATTTCAACACGTTTGAAAATATCTTTATAATTATTTGCATAGTATTTATAAATACACCATTTACTCTCACACTTGATTCAAGAGGGGTGGAATTTTGAAAATTTGCACCTACTAATTATATATGTATGGGTATCAGATCTCAATCATTCATTTTAATATTGAGAATTTTTTATTTTACTTGCATGATTTAAATTTGACATTAATAAATTGATGTAACATAACTAAATCTTTCAACATTTTAAATATATGACCAATTATTTCTTAAAGTTGGAAATAAGCATTAGGAGTATTTTTATTTTTATTTTTTTTAAAAAAATTATTATATACGCATGTAAAGGGTTTTCAAAACTTATTCTTGATTTGCTATCAATTTATGGAATTATTATTTTTTAGATGGTAAATGTAAAGTAATTATGACACTTCTTACCTTTCACATTATTAATTAATAAAAATTTTGATAAAATTTTTTAATAGTTTCATTGTATTTAGTTTATTTTGTCATTTTTCGTGTGTCCTTTTTTTATGAAATGGTTCATTCTTTTTCATTTTTTTTTCATTTTAATTCAATGGTTATTAAAATATATAGAAAAAATGACCAAATAAGCACCCTAAGACCTAAGTGGAGTAAAAGTGCAATTAAGTTCCTAACAAAAGAAAAAAAAAAAAAAACTATCTAAACCCTTTTTTTAAAAAAATATTTATTGGAAGGGGGAAACCGAAAGAGAAGTACAAATTGTTTTAACTAGAGCTAAGAGTCTCACGCCATCTTGGCACACCAGCACTATCATCCTCAATAAGGCCTAATACCTCATCGGGTGGTTTCCAAAGAATATGCAGACCAAGCGAGTAACGGGCAGAGATCTTTGCAAGGGCGTCCGCTACTTGATTTTGGTCCCGAACTATTAGCTCAACCTGCCATATTTCCATGTTTCGCAACTCCTTCTTGCAGGTCTCTAGGATGTTGTGAGCCGCCGTCCTCGGTCTGTCGACTCTGTTCATGTACCTTATGATTTCCTCTGAGTCACTTTCGAACACTGCCCTTCTAAAGCCCATTGATGTTGCTATTTGGATACCTTTCAAAAGGGCCCAGGCCTCGGCTTCTAGTGGCGAGCAATTGCTTTCAAAAGGGCCCAGGCCTCGGCTTCTAGTGGCGAGCAATTGCAAATGTTGTAGGTGAAGCCCATCTGCCATTCCCCAGAGCTATCTCTAAAGATACCCCCACAGCTGGCTTTTTGTGTGGTTGGATTTACGGAGCCGTCCACATTAACTTTCACGAGCTCCTACGGTGGTTTGGTACAGCGTAGCTGCTTCCAAGTTGCCTGGTCTGGATAGGGAGAAACACCCTTTGCCCTTCGATATGCCTTGGTAATCTCATCCAACTGTGATTTGATCCAGGAAGTCTTGACACTTAGAGGTTTCCTAGTGTTATTGAAGATTGCCTTGTTTCTCCATTTCCAAAGCCACCATGCCGTTACAGCAAAGAGAACCCTGCTATCATGGGGGTGTCTACCGTTCCTTCTTTCTGATAGACCTTGTTCAAGCCATTCTTCAAAGGGTATATATACGCAAGTAACGTGTGACTCTGGCCTCACTATCTTCCAGACAGTTTCTGCCTCAGGGCATGTTCTTAGAACGTGTTCCACGTCCTCTACCTTATCATTACAGCTCCAACACTTGTCATCGAGGCTTATTTTCCTCTTGGTTCTTTCACTATTGGTCATTATCTTACCGTGGACAGCAAGCCATATGAAGGTGCGTATGCGATTTGGCGCTTTAAGCTTCCAGATACTATTCCACTTGGTTGCCTCCACTCGGCCGGCTTCCCCTATGGCTATGTCGTACGCGGAGCTAACAGAGAAACATCCTGATGACTCCATGCTCCAACTGAGGGAGTCTTCCTCCTCTTGGTTCTCGCTCAGTATTACAGTAGCTAGTCTATTCAGAACTTCTGCCGGAAGGAGGTCGTCGAATTGATTCCATAGCCATCCTTCCTCAAGATTCCAGTAGCTAGCAACACTTCTGTTTCTCTCGTAGATTGGTACATGTCCAGTCGCTAGTTCAATCAGCGGGCTATCATGAACCCATCTATCGTTCCAGAAAGACGTACTTATTCTATTTCTGACTTGTTTTCTAGTTCCTTTGTGGAGGATGGGCATAGCTTTGATTATTCCTCTCCATGCGTTAGACTGGTTACTTTTCTGCCTCCAGTTCGAGCAGTCAGTGTCTGTGATAACATATTTGGCCTTGAATACTTTAGACCATAGGCTTTCCTCCTCTTGCATTAGTCTCCATCCAAGCTTAGCAAGGAAGGCTAGATTCATTTGCTCTAGTTTCCGGATACCTAATCCCCCATATGCCTTGCTCTTTGTTACGGTATCCCACTTAACAAGATGGCACCTCCGTTCCCCGTCCTTGCTTCCCCATAGGAAACTTCTAATCAGCTTCTCAATGGCTGAGATTACTCCCGCCGGTAGTAGTGATGTTTGCATGAAGTAGAATGGGATATAGGTCAAGACGGATTGAGCCAAGGTGATTCTGCCAGCCATGGAGAGCGATCTAGACTTCCACCCTGCTAGTCGGGATTGTATTCTCTCCAACACACCTGCAAAGGTCTCGCTTTTGATCCTTCCATGGAATGAAGGAATGCCCAAATAGATGCCCATATTAGATACAATTGGAATTTCGGCCACTGCAGCGATCCTTTGTTGGAGACCATCCTCGGTGTTTTTTGAGAAAAATAGGGTCGATTTCTAAACCCTTTAAACCTTTTATTCTTCACTTATTGCCTTTGAGACAAGTAGTACTGCATAGCAGCATATGGTCATTGTAATTGGATATTTATAGTAGAGTGAAATATTTAACAAAGTAGGGATGTGATTTAGGAAATATTTGAGATGTAATTTAAAAAATATAAAGATATTTAGAAAAATGAGAGTTGTATTTAAAAAGAAAAAAAAAAGTAGTTGTTGGATATTTCGTTGGTAAAACCCAATAATAATCTTACAAAATAAGGATTATTACTTTATGGAAAAACTGGGAAGGATGATCGGATGTGATGGGAAGGACGAAAGGACACCGAGGCCAGGGAACAGGTTTAGTACGAGTCGAGCGAAACACTCTTTCCTTAAAATCTTATTTGCTACCTCCCACAAGTGCTAGGAGCGTTGTAGTCTAGGTTTCCCAGGATAAAACGTATTACGGTTCAATTGTTTGAGCACCCAAACTTTAAACCCGACGAACTAGAGCAAGGCTCCGAACACTGTTAGGCTAAGAAAGGAGTAGAAGTAGAGATTTTGGAGCTGGAAAACTATGATTTCTTGTTATGAAAATTCTGCCAAATAATCGTCTCCCTTTTAATATTTGATCATCGCCATAAATATTGGCAAATTATACCATGAATCAAGGTTTACCTTGTATTGTAGATCCTGGTCCAAATATACAGTTGACATATTTTGTGCACGTGGTTAACAATTTATGTGTCTGTAAATTAATTGAAGGCGCATAACATGGTAACTAAAGACGCATAAAATGTTAACTGTAAATATATAATATTTTAACAATAAATTATGTGTTTGTAGTTAACATGTTATGTGCAGAAACATAATATTTGAACAAATGTTCACAATACAAGATGGACTCTGATCCATGGTATATATAACAATTGATATGTGTCACTTCATAACTTTGACTACACTGCCATACATATTCGAGACCCCACGCCTTTTTGGACCTTCATCGAGCACTTGCAAAGCTTGTATAAATTTCCAAAAAACACCCTGCAAAACGGGGCCTTCACGTGGCACGAACTTTGAACGCGTAGCGATTTTGAAAATAACGGTAAAAGGGGCAGTCCAGTAAAATCGACTTTAACGACCTCCCTTCGACCCTACTACGACCCTTTGCGCCCGCCAAAAGGCCACAAGCAAAATACCGTCGCACCACACCACACGCCCATCCCTACAAAATGCTCTATCATATCTCCTCTTCCTTTCACCTCCACCACTCACCACCACCACCACCGTCACTGCCGCCGCCTCACCATTTCCTCACTCATTCCTCCAAATGGCATCCCTCTCCGTCAAGTTCTTAGCACCTTCGTTGCAGATTCATCACGCCAATAAGCTGCCCAAGTCTACTAGACTCCACGCCACCCCGCCGCAGGCGGTGGCGCCCTCACCGCCGCCCGAGATTGACACCGCAAGGCTCGAGCCCAGAGTGGAGGAAAGAGATGGGTACTTCGTACTTAAGGAGAAGTTCAGGCAAGGCATAAATCCTCAAGAGAAAGTCAAGATTGAGAAGGAGCCTATGAAATTGTTCATGGAGAACGGCATTGAAGAGCTTGCAAATATCCCTTTCGAAGAAATTGAGCAGTCCAAACTTACTAAGGATGATATTGATGTTAGACTCAAATGGCTTGGCCTTTTCCATAGGAGAAAGCATCATTGTAAGTTCGATGATCATATCAATTTCTTACATAAATTTTAATCCCTTTTATGTTGTAATGTTCTTATTTTTCTTGGATGACAAACAAACACAAATCATTATTCGAGAGTATACATTAAGTAAATCCCGCTTTAGTGACCCTAGCTGGTAAAGTAACATCAACCATATTGCTTAATGCTCAAATTAAGAAAGACAATGACCTTTTTTGGTAAAATAGTTAGCTTATCAGTAATTTTGACTTATTTGACCGCTATTAGCGGTTTGACATGGTTAAACAACTAATATGAATGTTTGATTAATTAGCTTTTTGTAATAGCTTATTACTCCAAAACACTAAAATTCAAAAATTTGCTCAAAGTAGTTTTTTCGATCAATTTTTTGAGAAAGTCATTTTGTATGTAATCAGTTATAAGCTAACAATCTATCTACAATCACCTAATGCTATCAACTAACCTAGTCAACTAACAACGATCAGAACCCCCAAACACCCCCAATATATTGCTCCGAGAGTCGAACATAGCACTTATAGTTACCAAGCCAACAATATGACTAATGTGACTTGATAGTGTGCAAGTGTGATCTTAGTCGGCACAAAACAATCAGCCAGTATAACTTGTCTATAGTTGACTGCTCAAAGCCAAAAGGTCGCTCTTATTGGGAGTCAAACTTTAGAAACTTATGGTTACCAAGTCAACAATCAGACCAGATTGACTTGTTTTTAATTAATGTATCTAAATGTGTATACAGATGGTAGATTTATGATGAGATTGAAGCTACCAAACGGGATAACAACGAGTGAACAAACAAGGTATCTAGCAAGTGTAATCAGGAAATATGGGAAAGATGGATGTGCTGACATTACTACAAGGCAGAATTGGCAGATCAGAGGTGTTGTGCTTCCAGATGTGCCGGAAATCCTAAGGGGACTCGAACAAGTAGGCTTGACAAGTCTGCAAAGCGGCATGGACAACGTTAGAAATGCGGTCGGGAACCCTGTCGCCGGAATTGACCCGGAAGAAATCGTGGACACCAGGCCGTACAACAATCTGCTATCCCAACTCATCACTGCAAATTCGCGAGGCAATCCTGCTTTCTCCAACCTGTAAGTAAGCTTAGATTGCTGAAATTTAAAATCTTCATTCTGTCACTGTGGTAATTGCACTGCTGGAAATTATGGAATCTTATATAAGTGGAAAGCAAAAAGTGGTCGGAAATAGCAACAAAGGTTTTTCAAGATACCAAAAATGGTCAGAACAAGTCTTTCAACTTGATTTAAGATCATTTTCAGGTGGTCGTAAATTCCATAATTTCCATTTGATTAATTGATTGATTGTGTCTTAATTTCATGTGTGCCCGCAGGCCAAGGAAATGGAATGTGTGTGTAGTAGGGTCTCATGATTTGTACGAGCATCCTCATATCAATGATCTTGCGTACATGCCCGCCATGAAAGATGGACGTTTTGGGTTTAATTTGCTTGTGGGCGGATTCTTCAGTGCGAAACGCTGCGCCGAGGCCATCCCTCTCGACGCTTGGGTTCCTGCAGATGATATATTTCCAGTCTGCAAAGCCATTCTGGAAGCTTTCCGGGATCTGGGCGCCAGAGGGAACAGACAGAAGGCAAGAATGATGTGGTTAATCGATGAACTTGTAAGTAGTGAAGACTGTTTAGCCATTAAACACATGTTTCAATTTGGTATAGAGCCAGACCAAAGGTCATGGTTCGAATCTTTACGTCACCCGATAAGCG